AAAACTTTACGGTGGTGCCGTACAAAAACAACAGGTGTAAAAAACAGGACTATTAGGTGGCAAAGTCTATAATCAGGCATGAGATAGTAAGATAAAGAACTTAAGAAATAATGCGAGCAAACAAATGTTATATTTTTTTATCGATATTGATAAATTGGCAGGTGTCCCTCATTAAATTTATGAGTTACAGGAGTTGCAAGAGTGGCAAATTCGAATTCGAAACAATAAATTTGGATTAAACAGTTGTTTGCCTAAAATTTGTGACAAAGAACAGGCAAGGGGATATACAAGGATTTCTAAAGTTATGATATTACACGATATAAATTGTGTCAGTGATCACAAACGCCTGTCCTATCCCAGGTAAATATCAATATATAATCAGGTACTAGATAGTAAGAAATAATGCGAGCTCTCAGCATATATCTCAGAGTCAGTATCACTATCGAAATATATTGTGGATTGTACGACTGAAAGATGAAGTTTATTAAATTCCGAGACAAAATATTTAACGGCAGCTTCCTGAGAACAGAACACGGGGATTTGAAACTTAAAACACACGAGATAGCCGGAACCAGTACAAATGAGTGAAGCTATATTTTAACTAATTATTCTTAGAAGACTGTTTATGGTTTAGTTGACTCTGAGATCAAACCTTCACTACAAGAGGCTTCGTCATAAAAGTAAAAGTTGAAAGTATACGTGATCCGGATGCAATAACAGATATATTGAACGTTCAAATCATTTTACACCTACGCTAAAAACTTGTCCACCAACACTGTACAAACTACAAAAATATTTGATTGGCAGACGGATAGATAAAGAACGAATTATGAACTATAGACCACAGAGTGATCGTTGAATATCATAAAAGAACGGCACAAGTGCACAACACACAAAGGCGATCTGAACTGATATGGAAGTTAGACCTAGGCAAAATTGAAAGAATCGCACTAACTGGGCCGCGCTCAGCCTGTCATTCCGCCTAATCTCTATTAATGAACATAATAGCCTGGGGTCCTCAGGTAAAAGCAAGCACTGATAACAGAAACAAAGAATCATATTTCACTTGTGTTGTTCCGTTGACCAAAACAAGTGCTAACAGACTAGATGGTTGATGAAATAAGCCTCTTGACTCCCATTGTGTGAAATTACTAACACTAGCAGTAACCGGTGTTTCTTTAAGGTGGGGTCAAGAGACATTAGACAATAACACACGGAATTAAAGAGGAATTAAAGAGGAATTAAAGAGGAATTAAACAGGAATTAAACAGGAATTAAACAAGAATTAAACAGGAATTTAAGATGAAATTACCAAGGAGAACACTAACGAACTCGTCTTGGCTATACATCAATTAGAAAATGTTATTTATTAAATTTGAGATTTTTACACAAGCCCATTTAGATGAGCTATACAATACTCTGTAAAAGATAACATAATATAGAATGTAATTGTCTGGGAGGATGACTGTAAAATTTGGGAAAAAAAGTATCCTGTGGTTAAACAAAGCACAGATACTAACAGAAACAAATCAAACGTTTGGTTTGATCCACACTACTGATATGTGAGATCAGACACAACAAATTATGACGCTCTCAAAGCATTTCACAATAAAGGATAATGTATAATATAGATTAACTCCCGATTTCAATTCAGGGAGACTAATCTATTCTTGCAAAAATGTTAAAACAAACTAAATATTTTACAACATCTAGGATTAAGGACAAAGTGACTAATATAGAGTACGAGAACACATGATTTCCATCACAATGCAATCTATTAAATAAGTAATAACTAGGATTAAATATCTTAATCCATCATCAAAGATTGTACAGTATGAATATCAGACCATTAAAGTGTTTTTCTACGATCCAATTCAGAATTTTGACACTAACTGTCAAGGAAAAAGGTGCAGGGCAGAACTAATCTATAGATTTCTTTCGATCACAGGCCTTCTTTGAAAACGACAAAAAGTAGCCGGGCCCGAACAGGCAGTCCGAAAGAAATAAAAACTATAACAAACAGACAGTATAATGGTCAACATCAATCTGACATATTTTGTTCCTTCTAGTACCCTGAACCTCTTGATTTGGATTTAAGTAACACGACCTTAGTTCGGAAATTTAATTCAAATGCATAGCATGAGTATATAAAAGAAAATCTTCAGATATAACTGCAAACTGATTGACAAACTAAACCATCCTTCATCAGAGTGGTAGTCATGACAGGACCATGTTACTTTGATATTAAGTAAAGCTAACATCTTTCGCTAGGGTCTTTAAACGAAGTAAATGTCGGGCAGCTAAATATAAACAAGTGTAGACAACTGGACGATTTTTTTAAAATGTCGTACGAGCAAGAAAAGGTCATCAAAATATATTTTAACTACAGGAACAACATAAACATGAAGGAGGTACCGATGTAACTGTGCAGTGTGATAACACGAGGTGCAGTGAGCAGCACATCACTGATGACACTCATATCGCTCGATTTTACAATCCAATAATCAAATTTTACAATCTAACTCATCGCGCGGCTCCTCTAGCTAATACGTTACTTTTCTCCAATTGGCAGTTTGCGTGCACGTGTCTTTTCTGAGGCCCCAATTGGTTCTAAATGATCACGTGAATGCTGGTCACGCGCACATCAACTTCCAATGAGCGTACTGCCATTTTTTCTGAGGCGATGGAGGTCGTAAATCACTCAGCCCGAATAAAGATTTGGCGGAATGACAGGCTGAGCGCGGCCCAGTAATGACTTATTTGACATCGTCAATTAAACCTTGCTCGTGTAACAAATGTCATTTTTCTTTGAAATTCGTCACGTGACACAATTTAGCCAACCAAAAACAAAAATATGCAAAGTTAAAGTTGTGAAATTTTATTTGGCCCAAAATTTAATTGACGATGTCAATTCATCACAGCTCGGCAAGGCACAGTAGCGCGTTTCGCCGATCTAGCGAGAGAAGCCTCATTGAGTGCGCGGTGCGGCACAGTAACGCATCGCGCTACAAGCCCAAAATGAAACTTTTCATGATATCCCGGCTCAAGCTGTTCATAGGAATAAGATTATCGTGCGATATTTGCGCTGTGGCCAAATTATATACCATCCGATAGGAAAAACGCCAAATCGGATGTCGCAAGAAAAGCGAAACCTAGCGCAGGTTCCTATAAAAAGTTATGACTAAATAACTGGTCAAAATAAATATTTACACCGCGCAGCAAATAAAACAAACGAATATCAAAATAACATGCGCGTCGCTATTATGTATCGCTAGGCGTTACTATGGTTATGGCGTTACTATGGTTATGACGTCACAAATGACTATATTTGGAAATGAGGGGAAGGCTCCTTTCTCGCAACGGCGAGGTAGCGCAGTTGGTTAGAACACCAGCTTTGCAACCGCGAGGTTGCGAGTTCGAATCCCAATGTCTGCCTGGTTGTGGGGTGAGCGTCGTTGACGTTCAGCTAAGGATCCTGAGTGGTCTATGCAGCCCCCCGGTATACTCAGCCGAATACTCGGGAAATCGGGTGTGAGGGTTAAATGAGGAGCTGCACATTGCAGCAGTCTCGGGCGAAGTAAGTATGGTACACACTACTTTAAGTTTAACAGTCACTGGCCAAAATAAATCCTTCGGCTTCCTGCAATTGGCTGGTTGCACGTGTGTAACAATGTAGCTGTTGGAATACTTCGAAGTAATATGTATAAGTGTCTTGATACAAAATTACTGTCATGTACTATATCATATATACTGTAGTCGATCAACTTAACCGACTATACCATATCAATTATCGTATGATTATTTGTACCATTAGTTCTGATTACCAATTCGCACTTGCAACTTGCTGGCCCAAAACTTATTCCTTGCCAAACTTTAATTTTTTCGTATTGTTTGACATACAAATGGCCATATAATAAGAATCATTTGATTCAGCCAGTGTCATTGATAATGGTATTGGTATGTTTTATCTCTCTTTTCGTGAGATTATTGTTGAACTTGATCTCGTGGTACATGTCTTCACATACAACCACTATACCTACGGGGGCGTTTGCATGGTTTCAGCAAGCTCTCGGCTATTTTACCAACCAGTACAATTCACAGACCAGCGCAATAAATTGTTTTAGACTATAATTAGAGTACTGCTCAAATGTTACTATGAGTATGACATGCGATTATCAGTTCTACAAAATGTCTATTAATTAATAGTTAGATTGATAAAGTTCTTTAGATTTATTGAATAATCTCGGTCAAATTGAGTGGGTTCCTTGTTACAGCAAGACAAGAATTCAAACACATTTTATTCTATCAATAATTCATTTCAGTCATATTCAAGATTACAGTCGAAACATCCAATGAAATGCTTACTCTAAAATCTTTAAGTAAACGGTTGTCAACATTGCAGTTCGTCTCCTGGCCATGTTTTAGAAACCTTGCAGTCATTCGATCTGCAGACACAGCTTGGCAGCGAATCCGTCGCTGTACGAAGATTCATCTGCAAGTGCAGGCCCAAAATTGTTGAATGCAATGCCCTAGCCTATAATATCTGAATTACACCATCTTAAATCAAAACTCGTCCAGTTCATGCTCTCTCTCTTCCTGATAACCTGTAACCACCCATCAGGGGCTACTCTTCTCAATATAAACTGGCTGCTTTGCTAGAGGAATGACAGAGATCTCCTCTCCGTGGTCTGGGTGGTCACACGATGCACCAATTACGAAAGCGATGTCAGCTATTTTAAATAACCTAACAGTTAAGACTCGGTTTTGATATTAAAACTGTTCGTGTTACAGGGTTATGGATATACAAATATTGTGTCAATGAAGATCACAAATAAAAGGTACAAAATACTTTCGGATGATGCAGATAAAATGGAATCATTACAGACCTGGCTGACTATCTAATTCTCTATTGTGTTCAGTAGTTCAAGCCTAACATAATTGAAGATTCTAATAATTTAAGCATTGATCGTTGAAACACAGTTCAACAATGATCAAATAACCTAGCAGTAAGGTTGAAATATAGTACAATCGAAAGTATAACTAAATACCAATATCATAAAACCGTTAATATCAATAATCAAATGTCGAATTCATAGTGCAGCAAAAACAGCAGAGAGATAATCAATGACTTCGTACTCCTGGTTATTGTAGGCTTGCATGAAGGATTCCAGAAGGGAGTCGTACCTTATCCACTTGGCAGCTCTCTGGGGTGGAGGTCTTCTCATCAGCCTATCCGTGATCTTCTGGTCTGTTAGTCCTTGCTCTAGTTTGAGGGCTTCAAGGAATTTCCAGATGGTAGGATTTGAACACTGGACGAGGCTGCGGAAACCATTATGTCATCCTTCTGCAAGGTTCAAAGAGCGTGGGAGACCAGTTAGACAGCAATCGTACTGGTTCCAGGACAGGTGATCGAAGCGAGCAGGTCTGTTTGGTGTTCCCATCCACGTGGACTCAAAGTATAATGTAAAGACATCCATATCTGCGGAGAGGATAGGTCTAACTCTAAGGGTCTGCCATGCGTAGTGGACGTCACCAGGAGGGATGAAAGGTAGAGCTCCGATCCGTTGGAAGGCTTTCCGGATGTCGGATCCAACCACCTGATACTCCGGAACAAGGTCGGAGCGAGCGAAGTTCCTCCATAGAGCCTGTTTGAAGTGGAAGTAGCAGCCATGTAGAGTAGTCCCGGGCCAGACAGCAGTGACACTGTTCCGTAGCCCAGCTTCATAATCGCAAAGGGCGGTGTCTGGATGGAAAGGTCCAAAGCGATCCAGTTCTTCTAGTAGGTTTGTGTAGTGTTCTTGCCGCTTTCCAGGGAGAAGACCAAACGCCAGAGGAAGTCTGTAATTGTCTGGGGTGATTCCATGTACTGTCAGGAGTTGGGTGAATAGATTGGGTGCCACCTTTTTTTGTTTTGTATTGCTGCGCTGAGAGGTGTTTATGTTGGTCGGCAGCTTTCTGCTTCAATTCTGCTCTGAACTCTGCTTTCTTAGCTAGAACTGTCTACTGCCGTAACGGCAAATTTTGTCTTTCGCACGTACGTCTCCTGAGGAAAATTATTATTATTAATAGTCAAACATGAATCATAACACATAGAGGGGGGTTTGGTCGTTGATTACGTAATCAACATTTTCTTTTTTACCCTCTAGAATAATAACAATTTGACAATATTTTAATTCAAAATCCACTCAATTTCACTCTGATAGTGATAAAATTTAGAAATTTATCGAATATCCGGCTATAATAGCAGCAGGGTGTCATAATTATTGGCGCGTAGACAATTTTGCGTAAAATTTTAGCTTACCCAAGCTTTTAGAAACGATCATTACTTGACTTCTGAGTGTCAGTTTCCTATGGAGTCTTGATCATTCAAGGAATAATCCTTCATACTACAGTTCAGTCTAAAAATGAAGTCCGAAAGAATTTTAATTTTGTCGATAATCACGACGAAAGAGAAAAATTTGGATTACTGGACTTAAAGCCTTCGGCTGCTTACCCTGAATTCCGGGATGAGTCCGCCTGACTATATTTTATTGCGTCAGTTAGAGGAGAAAGAAAGCTTTTATAAAATCTATAGTTTTCTATATGTTTCGCTATCGCCTGAAGAGCTGTGCACTTTAGTCTAAAGAATAATTTCAGAAAAAATTCACCGAAAAAAAATTACACAAAATCTCTTACTCCTTCGTAAATCTAACCAAGTATGGAATCGACCCTTTAAATAACGGCCTAAATTATGGGTTTTGAGGTACATCAACACAAAATTCTGAAATTAAGAAATAGTTCAGACGATTATCTACAGACCAGTTTTTGAATTTGGTAATTTAGATATTCAGAAGTAAAGTTATGACCCGGCGAAAAATATTGATTTCGTCATAAAATACACATAAAATTTCAAACACGCCAATAATTCTGACACCCTGCAGTAGTAAGTAGTTTAGAAGTTGCTTGGCCGGATATCATAACAATGATTTCGGCTCATCATCATAGCATGATCAGGGTAGCATGAAACGTAGATAAAGTGTTTTCTAGGAAAATAATCAAGGGGGGGGGGGGGGTCAGGCCATGATTACGTACTTTTGCTGTCAGGAGGGGGGGTTGGGTCTTGATAACGGTTGATTACGGAAGGGGGGAGGGGGGTAAAAATTTGTAAATGCGTGTATTACCGCGCGGCGCTAAAAATCTTTCAAAGTTGTTGACACTTAGGGGTTTTATCAGTATAAACAGATCGCGCTCGCCGCATAAGATTAATCCGTGTTCGTGGAAACATTTGTGTCCGATTTGGAAACATGTTTTTGGGGCCCAGATTGCAGAGTTAGGGCTAAATTTACAGGGTTCTGAAGTGTCTAGGAATAATATCTAAATCTTTTTCTAGCCTGCCAAGATTTGGAAATTTGAAAATAGAATAAGGTACAATTTTTTTGACGTTGAAATGGAGTTCGTTTTAAAACACCACCCCTAAAATGTCATTTCTATATGTGTGATAATTACAAAATGTACAGGAGGCCTGATTTATCTTTTGTCACTAGAACTATTTGTTTTGTCTTATTAAAACATTAAGCTACTTGAAAACATTCACTCACTAAAGGAAGTACCTCAAAACCGTAATCACCCCCTAAAATGTCACGTGCACCACCCCTAAAACTTCAGGTAAAACAGGTTGTGTAGACTAGAATTTCTCTCTGTTGAAAAAAATGGTGGAATTTAGTCAATTTACTTTTTGTGACATTTTGGGGACTTTTTTTTGAATACCCAGAACTTACGGCAAAACAGTAACTCAGTCAACAAAATTAACACCTGTAGATATCTAGAGTTAGATTATCTAGTTATAAACTAACAATTGGCACAAAAGAAATGGATTCAATGTGATTTTAACCTTGTGCAAATTGCATGTTTTAATTGCATTTTTTGGGATTTTTAACATCATCCTGCATTTTGGCAATTTTAGTGACCTGTAGTTAACTAAGCCAACCCAGTAATCGATCTGACCTTCTCTATAGACTAGATTTGACTGCTTTTAGCAAAATTGAATGTCAAAAACTACGGTTTTTGGTACTTACTAGTTTATGGTAAACCTATGATATGCCCCCTAAAATGTCTTTTTTTTCTCCCCTAAAATGTCAAATTTATATTTTGTTCGCATGGTGTGCGATAATAGCTCTTGTTTTGGCACTTGTTAATTATTAACATCAACTATTAACGAAATGTGAGTATGCATTGCATCGGGGGGGTACCAATGGCATAAAATGGAGACAAATGGCATAAAAATCGTCAAATGGCATAGAAATTTCATGGCATAAATGGAAATTTAGCTTGGCCAATTCTCCATTTATGCCAATTTATGCCATTAATTTAGGTCTTCATATTTGACCTTTAGGATGACTTTAGATTCGCAAATACTATTAGTACTTGAATAAGAGACATGTTTCATGCTTTATAACGCTTGGAATGATCGTTAAAGTCAAAGATTCATATGACAAATAACTAAATAAAGAAAATAGAAATGTATTATATCAAATATATACCAAACATTTCACTATTCAAGAATACAAACATTGACAACACAACGATTTTGAATGTCAAGGAACAATGCATCTGATGTATTTGTCTTCGACGAGTAGCCAAACATTAGGAGATCCATTGATTAGGCTATGTTCCTGGCAGTAGTACTTCATCGGGCATGACTTGTAAGAAATAAATCTAACCACTCCTGTTGCAAAGTCCTGCTGAGATTTGAAGACTTTAAGAGTTTCTGTACTGCCAGCTTTCAAAACTGTTGAACATCCGCATTCAGGTTGATTGTATATGCGAACATCAGAAGACACTCCAAACGCGTCCCCCTTGAATCTTGAAAGACGAGATTTTGTTGATAAAGCTATAAAGTGCTTCTTCCTCCATTGAGCGTGAGTGTCTCAAAAGACCGGAAGGATAGTGTTCCATATTTATCTGTTGATATCGTTTCTCCATCATCACAATCATCAACTCCAGGTTCTACCTCATAAGCTAAGTCGTCCTCATCCTCGAGGCATCCAGCTTCATCATCTACAGCTTCCCAAGAAAGTTCTTGGCCATGGACGATTGGCTTCCCACTCCGTTCTTCAGGATCTGCGACTGCGGCGAACACAGGGAAATTGTTTCTTTTCCCTTCTCGAATGCAGTCCCTCGATGCCCTGTCCAGCGTTTTTGCCAACTTGCCTAGGCTTATCATACCACCAGTCCATTTCACTCGTTCTGCTTTCTGGCCTGTAGATTTAACCTTTTTGAGGTGAACTGTAGGATACAAAACTGTACTTTCACGTGCATGTGCAATTGCAAATGTGTCTTCATGTAATGATAAAGCACTGTACACATTCTTTCTCTCCATTCCATGGGCCATAGTTATCGCATCCATATTTCTTGAGCGACCAGATGAAAAAGAAACCCGAATAAATGCAAACAGCTGCTCATTCTGATCACTTCCAAGGTAATAAGTGACGATTTCAGCATTAGGGAATTGCTTCTTCAGCAGAGTTAAATACAAAACAAGACCGTCACAAGTACATATAAGATCAAGGTACGTCTGATTCGTTATGCTGACAGCTGAGTAAGTATTCTCTTGCCAAGTAACGAAAAATGTTTTTTCTCAAACAGTTCCATTTTTATTATACTTTATAGTTTAGAGTCTAATTTGGCTTGATATCAGATCATGTGATATTACATGGCCCCATGGAGAGCATTGCCAGAGCAATTGGCCAGAGAGCTCCATAGAAGTAAGGGGCCTACTCTAGCCAACAGCTCTAATACATTTCCTTCCTCAACTTCATTTTCTTCATCTAACTGCTGCTGCTGCTCAGCAACTACTTGACAGCTGGCACAGTGACAATTGTCTGCGTAGTGTATCTGTTAGCCTCAATTTTGCCTCAAGGAGGGAAAGTAGCCTCAATCCAACCTCACATAAGTTTCGATAAAGTCTCAATAGTCAATAACCTTCGGGCTACAATTATAAGTTCTATAGTGGGCTATAACATGTTTCCGTACATTAAAGTTAAAACTTAAAATGCGGTCGAATCATTTATTAGCCTCATTTTGGCCTCTGCGATTTCTGAAATGTTGAGCTTGAAGAGGATGAATACATTTTTATTGTTGACACATTAGATAGTCACAATACCGAACATACTCGAAAATATACACAAAAGTATACTTGTTAGCCTCATTTCACCCTCTCACAAGGTGGTTAGCCTCATTTTCACCTCGAAAATTTGAAGCTATAATCAGACGGAATTTCATGTGCAACATAGATATCAAGTAACTTGTGAGTTGTTAACCTGTTTCCGTACATTAAAGTTAAAATGCGGTCGAATTTTTGTATTAGCCTCATTTTGGCCTCCTACAAGTAGACTCGGCGATTTCTGAAATGTTGAGTTTGAAGAGGATGAATCAATCTTTATTGTTGACGTATTAGATAGTCACAATACCGAACCAACTCGAAAATATACACAAAAGTATACTTGTTAGCCTCATTTCACCCTCTCAAAAGGTGGTTAGCCTCATTTTCACCTCGAATATTTGAAGCTTAAATACCGATTAAATATAATCCCAAGGAATTTCATGTGCAACATGGATATCAAGTAACGGTACGTGTGAGCTGTTAACCTGTTTCCGTACATTAAAGTTAAAATGCGGTCGAATTATTTATTAGCCTCATTTTGGCCTCCTACAAGTAGACTCGGCGATTTCTGAAATGTTGAGTTTGAAGAGGATGAATCAATCTTTATTGTTGACATATTAGATAGTCACAATACCGAACCAACTCGAAAATATACACAAAAGTATACTTGTTAGCCTCATTTCACCCTCTCAAAAGGTGGTTAGCCTCATTTTCACCTCGAATATTTAAAGCTTAGATCTCGATCAAGTATAATCACTATGGATTATACTTGCAACTTGGATATCATGGACGTAACATGAGAAAGTTCTTTTTTGAAAGTGGTGAGGCTAATTTGTTAGCCTCAATTGTCCCTCGCAGTTAAATCACTCCTACTGAGTCTAGTGAGTGAGCTAGGAGGTCGCCGAACATCTCATTTTAAAGCCGTATCGATTTTCTATACGCATACCAAAAATCAAATGCGTAACTAAAACAGAAATGAAATTACAGAAGTTTTAAATTTTTTGTCAAAAAACGAACTTTTAGGGGTGTTTCTAATGACCAGGGTCAGTACAACAAATAGAGATAAAGGTGGACAGTACTAGTGGGGTGCAGACTATTCGTTATTAAATTCTCAGTTCAAAGTTTTAAAATTTCATATTTCGAATGGCATAAAATGGAGACAAATGGCATAAAAATCGTCAAATGGCATAGAAATTTCATGGCATAAATGGAAATTTTGCTTGGCCAATTCTCCATTATGCCATTTATGCCATTGGTACCCCCCCATTGCATCTTAGGAAAAGCCTGAGTAATTTGATCAGGTTAAAATGACATTTTAGGGGGGATAATTAGACATTTTAGGGGATTTTTATTGCGATTAATAAAATAAAACTAATTCCTTGAGCTGCCAAAGCTTTCCAATATTACCATTAGATGCTAAATATGATGTTTAATAGGCTGGTACCTCCATTTTATGGTGCTTGTAGTCTCAAAGCCAGAATCTGATAAAATGACATTTTAGGGGGCGGCCAGTTGACATTTTAGGGGAGGGTAGTAATATTGAGTAATGTATAACTTTCCATATCTCCAGTCATATGTACAAAGTTGCTAAAATATGTAATTATCACTATCCTAGACCAAAACTGAGTTAATATTAATGAATTCCAGAGTTATAAAATTGTGCGCTTTTTTTCAAAAGTAAAAAATTCGTACAAAGTGAAAAAAATGCCCTTATGGCATCATTTAGATTCAATTTCAGGATGTGGCAGGGTCTGAATGATATTTTTTATGTTTAGGAGTTACAAATGATTAGGTAAGATACTTTCTAAGAAGATGGGATCCAATCAATCAAGAGTGGCGTCTAAGGGGTGGGTGACATTTTAGGGGGGGGGGGGGGTTTACCCGTATATGTCCGTAAACAGAGTTGGATTTGCCCTGGTATAATACAGTGGCTTGAGTACTAACATTTTAAGCTTCCTGTGAAATATTTCTATGGTTCATAGAATGAACGAAATGAACAAAAAATGAACATTCTCCTAGAATCGCCTAAAATGAACTGAAACCGATTGGGATCGATTTATGTTGATACCACGAGTGTCCCTGAGAAGTTTGGTGGGTCTAGCATGTTCAGAAAGGGCTCTGGGCAATGTTTCCATTTTGGTGTCAGAGTAGTTGAGCTCGTGGAAACATTTGTGTCCGTTTTGGAAACATGCCCTTGTAGCCGCATTTATGCCTATTGCCTTGACTGACTTGAAATCGATCTGGTATGGTAGAGGGTCATTTGTACTAATGGACACAAGTTATAAAGCAACATAAGGTCTCCAGTGCTTCATTTTATAGACATTGGCAAAAAACTATTTTTTGGCTCAGCGAACCAAAAATGGCACTGAATTTTGGTAACTTGAACTAGGAAGGTCGTAGAGACTTGAATTCTAGCTTAAAATGACCGCAAACATCATATTTATATACAACTTATAAAGCAATATAAGCCTTTTAATGCTTATTCGTTAAGATATTGACAAAAATCGGTCATTTTGGTTGCACGCGCGGCGTGAGGAAAAATACCAAATTGGGGAACAATTGTTGGTCTTTTTTTAACAAGTTTTGTGCTCAAGTTATTAAAATGTGCTTTGCAGTTGTAGATCGGGTGTTTTCTTCCAATATGGGTTTCGGTATAAATCCGGAAGCACCCGGTTCATGGGTGATAGGGGTTAAGAACCCTAAAATGTCAGGAGATGGGCGAGACAATTGTCTGAATTTGGTTATAAAATCACTCTTTGCTAGGGTTAGCTTTTTTCCGCTACAGCGATCCGATTTCTAACTACTAATCATCCCCCTCTACATCATTCTCTTTTAGATACGTGATTTCTGTAAGTTCTTCAAGGTACATACGGCATGATGTAAAGTCTGGTGGTTACAATTCGATAAAATCAGTACAAGCAAAAAACTGCCCCAAATTTCTCCTCCGAATATGGTTCGAAATTATAAACGTTATTGAGACAATACATTAGGGTAATTTACCACTGAGACCAGATGTAGTGATCTAGATTCAGATAAAGCGAAGAAGGTGCATAAATGAATTAAAAATCGATTTAATTGGCTATCAATTATAATAATTACCAGGCATAAGATATTTTTCCTTCAAACGATCCAATTCCACCACACTGGATTTGTGCTTCATTTTAGCATAGTTGATCTTCGCTTGAAAGATTTCTACGTCTTGTTTCTTCTAAAACCCTGCGGTTAAGATAATTTAAATTAAAGGTTTAGTTAATTGGAGAATTTAAAAGCTTACGAAATTAACTTCGGGATAACTTCTCAACTGCACAAAATATCCAAGTTAACAACCATTTAAATTTTAAGCAATTTAAATGGTTGTGAGCAATTTAAGCGTCTATTTCTTTATCCATGGGAATGTTAGCCTTAGTTTAAGCATTTATTTACGTTCATATAAGGGTCAAAACAAATAATAATATTGGAGTGCTACTAATGGAGCTGTTGTGACTGCCACACCGCACTCAACATAAGAGCTACTAATTTTTTATGTCAATATCAGCATTACCAATCATCTAAGATTCTAACCACCGAATTGTTCCTGTTGCAGATATAAATCTTAGTGGGCTTAGTTAATACTCGAGAATCTGGCAAAGGTCCTGCCTTCAATGATTCTGACCGTTCTGATGACAAAGATAAGCGTTTTTCCTAAGCGCAAAAGGATTTTCCTAACAAAAGCAGTTAACATTGCTGTGCAAAACTTTCTACTTACTAGTCATTTCACTTTCACTGTCAAGTGTCAGGACACGTCATTTTAGTGTCATTTAAAACACATGTCCTTAGTAGGCTGTATCAAAAACCACAAACAATAATTTATTCACCTTCTAAATAGGTGCATTAAGTCATAGGACTCCCAATTGACATTTAAATAATTGTTAAATTGAATTTTTTGTTCAATTGAGAGATTGTCAATAAATAGTAAAAATAGCACAGTTACCTGCATAGTTGACAAGTTCATTAATGTTGTTTCGGTGAACAGGGCGTTCTTTCTCATTCATTTCGTTTCAGGCTGAATTTGATTGTCATTATATTTACGCTTATCTATAATTGTACCAATCAAAATCATGTGAAAAGCTTGTATATGTTATAATCCAAAATTAAGTCTCGCTAGACAAACCATCTGCATCCTGTGAGAGCATCTTTGATTAGAAGATCTTTGGGGTGATCTTGGCAACTCTTTCTAAGCATAGTCTGGATCTATAAACATGTCAGCTTCTTGTGGTGATAGTAAAGTTATAATATTATTATTATTATCTAATCTAAAATATCTAATAATTTAGTTAATTATTAACAGGCCCCTTAACGTGGGCAATAACATCCTCTTTACAAGCTGAAATATATAGTTCGGAATTAATAGTTCAGGAAAATAATAAAGGGTAGAGCGATAAAAATGCATGTATATATCAAGCAAGAGATTAAACACAAATTTTTTTAGCAGAGGTACTGAAATGACTGTTATCTAAAATGAGTACCCTTAGGACACGTTAAAATAGTGCATAAACCATAAATATGTTTGAACCATAAATTAATTATCCGTAGTGGGTAAATGTGTTCACACTTCCATTGGATGATGAGTTAAGTGGTCAGTTGTACAATTGTGCAGTTCCAAATCGGAAAACCAATACTGAAAGTAAAAAACGAGTAGGAAAACAAAATAGTTAGGATAACAAGATCCCATGAAAAAACTGCTGTATCAAATTAAACATTGATGAGACCTGTTAAATTACATGGTTAGATAGCTACTTTAAATAACATTACGGGAGATAAAAGTAAATTACGAACAAAACAGAAAGGATATCGGAACATGGTCTCTCACATTTGTGTAATGAAATGCTTTGCTAATGCTAGCGCTCGATCTGTTATGCCTTTAACCGCGCGCACTGCACACGCCAATTGTCAGAGTGTTTTTCACCACCAAAATGTGCTACTCTTGTTAAATTCAAAACTTTCTTCTCACTGAAAATGCTAATAAATTTTATCGAACAGTATTTTTGGGTAAAAATATTTCCAAATGCGACCATGAAATACCTTTAAATGTTTGCGCGCGAAAATCTATTGTTTGTAAATTTTTAAATGTATACTGAGAAAATTTTTAGAAATGGTTTGTGATTTCTTATGATATTATTATAAAAAGATTTTGATTATAAAAAGTTCTACATATTGTAATGTATTAAAATGCATTATATGTGAGGCTTTTCTTCATATTTACTTGCCGAAATTGCCTGAAACCTTGAAATGTGAAAGAAAAATAAGCATTTAAAATTGAGATCCATGAACCATTTGAATGTCAAAAAGATTTTAAACCAGGTAACTTTAATTTACAATTTAAAACACTTTTAAAATGGCGATGACCCACGTTAATATATAATGGTCAAAATTCCTTATAATATATAAACAGTTTTTATTTTTTAAACGATTATTGGCGGGTCGAAAAGTAATATAAAAAATAAACTCTTCGATATTCAGTATTTGTTAATTATTACCTAAAGACCTCGGTAGTGATCTGAGCCTTGAGTTGTCAAAAATTATAAACACATTCAACATGAACATTAAAAATAAAGGTATGGCGGAACAAAAGGCTAAATACCGCTCAGCAGTGAGAAAGTTACAATAATTTTAAATTTTAAAATAGTATTTTCAATGGGACACAAAACAATCAACATTTTACTCGAATTTTAGTATAATTTGAACCTGAAAAGCGTTTCGAATATTTTATTCATTAGCTGTTATCTTTAATTTATTAAACGATATGAATTAATTCATTACTTGATGCGCGGTTTCGGGTAATGTTGTGCAGCGCGCGGCCGAAATTGTGACAAACAGAAGGAAATAACTCGTCATCAAAATGTATCGCGCGAGAATGTTTTAGTAGACGCGCATGTGACGTCACAAGTGAAGAGCTCGCAGTGGGATTGATTGCTAAAAATCTTGATTGCAATACCTCTTAGTATATAAGTTACAATAACATTTCAGTTTACTGGGCCGCGCTCAGCCTGTCATTCCGCCAAATCTTTATTCGGCGTTATTACATTATTATGTTAATGAACATAATAGCCTGGGGTCCTCAGGTAACATTTCAGTATTATAGACAAAGTCGATCGAAGGCCTGACCTGCCTAGCAGATCTTGACGAGATCAGAGTTTAGTTTCAGAATAGTAAAAACGAGGTAACAAATATAAATAGTATAATATATACGAAGTAATGAATATAAGCTTCTCTCCGAGAGTTTAGTAATTTTGGAATGTATAAATATAAATTTGTTTCACGTTGTATCACGTGGTGACCCCCACTGTCGCTTCACTGTAGAGTTTCTACGATACAGGGGGAGCCGCGCACACGTGCGCGGCGGGTCATACCCAGCAAACCCTACCGGCCGGAGAATATCTCCAAAAGTAAAATAAATAGAACCTTCCGGTTTTCAACAAAATGTCCGTCCCGTAAATTTAAAGGAGGCTCCCCAGGAGCACAATTGGGGACAACTTAGATTCTGAATTAAACCGAACTAAACTAAATGCAGCGTGTGAAAGGTAAACTCGATGTGACGCGCGACGCCAAACGTGCTGTTGAAAATCTATCACCTTTAGCAAGCCCAGCAGGCGGTAAGGTTTTTTGGATACAACGTATGACAAGTTTCACGTTGGTTCATGAAAATTTAAAAAATTGTTCTAAATTTAAGATTTCTGCGCGTGCGCACAATCTGCTGTCACGTGCGCGCCATTTGCAGCAGTTACCAGCAGTTATAGCAGCCTGCAGCAGTCAGCAGCATGAGCAGTTAGCAGCTGCTAACTGCTAGCAGTTAGCAGCAGTTAGCAGCAGTTTCTTTGCACTTTAGTCTCCCTGCGCAATGGGGCCGGGGTCACGACGTGATACAAGGTAATTTAATGCTATTTAACACGGGCAAATATTTTCGAATACCTTTTACTGTGAAATGTGGAAATAATACAAAGGAATACAAGGAATACAAGGAATACAAGGAATACAAATTTAAAATCTTGAGCTACAATAGTACTAGTAACTGTTAAGATAATAACAATATCATAAGATTTGAATTTATTATATTAATATAACTTAACTAAAGTGAAAAATAAAGATTTGACATAGAATATTTTGTTTTCAGTCGCCTTGGTAATGCTGTAATGCTTGAGCCAGGTCACTTTGCAGTTTGCACTCGTCGTTGCGCGAAAAGAAACAAAAGCGGGTACAGTGATTTTCAGTGTTCACTGTTCATGTACTGGCCAGAGAGTCAACAAATTTCTTGCGGTTGTTAAAACACGTAGTGGCAAACCTAGCAACGACTCTCGTGAGGTGGACTTGACTTTCGTTCGTGATAAGTTCAATGATTTCACTGTTGTTGCTGATGAATTTGAGGACGTTTGCTCCAGGGATGACATTGTGAACAGAATAAGATGTCGCAGACGGTTTGATTGGATTTGATATGAGTGACTGGATCTTGTCTAGGACTTTTCGCCTCGATGCAGCGTTAAGATCACAATGGTTAAGGAAGTGATCTTCATTCTCAATAATACCAGAACCTAAGACTATATTGCACCAGGAGCATATTCGCTCGTCACGAGGAGTTTGATTATATCGGCCAAGTTCAATTTCGAGTCGATGTGCACTGATCCGCAGTCTTGTGATATTAGCACGGTCTGCATATTTAATGACACTATCTAGGTAATACTCTTTGTTAAATTTGGATTTTAGGTCACGATAAAATTCTAATTTCCGAGAAGTGTTGATACAGGACCCCCAATATTCTCTAAAGTTACATTTCAAAGTTTTAGTAATGACGTGTGGTGTGAATATTTTACTCCCGATGGGTTGTGTTGATTGAGGAGGAATTCGTTTCTTGAAACCGTTGTGAATAAGAAAGTCCTCTTTTGGTGGTTTTGCGATACTCGGGTTTCTTTCGAAGTAACTTGGAGTGATTGTTTTTGAGTGTGCGGTAGGCTGTGACATGATCGGTAGAGAATGAATTAAACGCAGAAAAAAAATTAAATTTTAGGTGCGCGGCGCCGCTCATTTTATCATCAATTTACACCGTCGTATGAAAATCGAGCGCTGAAGCAAATATTGTTATCTTTTCACAAGAATATCTTGGAATTTTATTAGTATAAGGATGTTGCATTTAGTACTCCTTTTGCCTCAACACAAAAAGCGGTGTCTCAGAACAATTTTGAGTATTCATCCTAAAAAACCTGTGCCAAGTTTCATGTCATGTCCTAGTCTCACGAAGTTGCCAATTTGTCCTTGCAAAACACGAAAGTTGAGGTTTATCTGATCTCAAAAGATGCTTCAATACAGGGTGGGCCTAAAGTCAGTGTGCATACGTTGGCCATATTAGCTCAGTCACCTAGTGCTTAATTCTTTAATTGTATGTTGCAAATAAATAGTGGTGACTGGTATACATTTTTTAATCAATTTGACTGCTCAAATTAAGATACCTTCAATCCATTCGATAGAAAATGTAGTTGTTATAGAATTATGTTTTTGAATAAACCGTATTCATGAGAAATCATCATTGATTAGGCAGCAATCATGGATGCTAGTTTAGTGGAAAACATTGAGGCCCAGCTTGAGAGCTCTCAAACTGGTTCAACATTAGATCTCTCTCTGATTGGAAAAGGAAAAGAATTTAGAAAACTACATGGTTACATTGCCTCTCTGTTTATCATGGTGTTAGTGGTAAGACCTTAACGGTTTCTAATTGATTGTTTGCAACTCGAATTAGAATGTTGTAATTAAAATGAACAATGAACATCAAGAAAAAACATTCTCACATAATTTGATCTTCGATCACTTTAGCAGAAATACCTTCCAGGTTTGCCAGTGTACTATTACTGTATTAGTACAAGTTGATATCATTGACTTCAATATAAGTATCGCTCCAATAAAGTCAGCTCATTTTCTACCCTTCCACTTTCTCCTGGTACTGCAGAGCTTTTGTTGGCTTGTAACTGCAATTTTAGACAGGTTTGTGAATTATAATTTCTTTGTACTTGTATCTATCTGACTCTCTCATAATATGGGGTAATGGTAAAACTGAGAAGATTTTTGTAGCAGTGGCACCTGGCTGGTCCTTGAAACTTAAACATGTTTTTTCTCCTGATTCTGCAATTTGCAATGTTTAATTTACTGCAAAGTGCAGTGCTTGGCAATCAAACTTCTGTGCATAATTCATCATGCATCACAGTTTGTCTGTTTTAATGCTTAAACTTTAATTTTGAACATTTAAAAGCAGGTAAGCAGAGACAGTTTTCTTTCAGGATAATACACCGCATGTCAAGCAAGCATAAAAGACATGGTTATGTCTCATTTTATACCGGCACAAAGTTCATGAGACGGCTGCCTAGCTATGTTATGTCTTCAGGTGACCTTTCCTTCTTTACCCTCACTTGTAAAACTCAAACATAACTTACCATACTGTGCTGTGGTAATTTAATTTTTTTCAACTTTTCTGTGAAATTTATGGTATTGACAATATAATAACTAAATTCTACTGCAGGTTGTGCAATTAGTCTGTTAGTGGCTGGTTTCTGGGGTGATACCTCACCGCCCTGGAAAAAAGTTACTCCTCAACTCTTCATGGTAAGATTTATATTTAATATTCTAGATCCATTTGTGGTAATTTGACAATGAATTTTCGACCAGCTTATAATTGATTCTAATGATGATGGTTTAGATTCCTAAATGTTGGGGTTAACATTTCCATTAATTTTGGATCAATATGTTTAAAACCTCAGTATGACCTGTAACATGGTAACTTACTGCAGGTAATAATCTCAGTGGTACAGACAGTAATCATACTACCAGTAGTGTTTTATTATGTCACCACCGTTATTAAGTTCAACAAATCTCACATTCTTCCCGATATGGAGAGGTACCTGAAAGAGAGTGCGTCTCCAATACAGATACAAGTTGGTCTCAGCAGGTCAGTAAAACGCAATACCTTTCATATCATATTGATTAATTAATTAATATTATTATATCAATTATCATATCTCATATTAAAAACTACTCGTCCTCAGTTTAAATTTTATAACATGATTATAGAATAGAGTAATGGGTGATGGTAGGTGGGTTATTCATTCTTTGCCCATTTGTCAAGGCAGAGAGCTTAAAACGAGGGTGTTGATGAAATGAAGCAGTATAGTATTAATATAATATCATAGGCCTATGAAATGTCACTTTCCCGCCATTTCCCACATTATTTCTAAAAATTAAACTCAGAAGTCAGAATATTAGTTAAAAACTTATCATTAAAAATGCTTCAATAATAACTCGGAACGTTACACATAATATTTGTATTGAGTAATGGCCTTATAAGTACATATCATATAATGAGCCTGTATTGTCTGAGGAGAAAGGGTGATCTGTGATCCACCAAACTCCAATATAATCTCTATTACAGAGAACTGGTGGTGTCGTGTTATTGTGTCTTATGATTTGATAGTTCTTTCATTCAAATTTCTGATTGTTTCTGAATAGACTCAGTGAAGACAGATTCTAATGGAAATGTATAGCTGAATAAATGTATCGACATTTCTACGTCATACTCGTATTCTCAATAAATGTAATAGATTTGTAGTGTTGTAATTATATTATAGAGAACTATAACATTTCGTAATGTTACTATTACATTAATTGTAATATAGCTATTATATTACGGCAACACATAATGACAACTCCGAGCATTACCTTCCAAAGAAATGACAATGAAGAGAAACCCACTGTGTACTATAGCGCCATGTGAGCATGCATTCTGAAATTAATTGTAAGCTTCTTTAGAGCAGTGAAATGTGTGTTGAGGTTGAACACGATGGAGTTACAAAACGCAAATTTATGTTTAATATGGAGTTGTTGATAATTTTTGAGTACTGTGGCTCCAAAGATGGAACGTTGATTCTCAGTTAATATCTGGCGGATATTCAGCATTCGAATGGTGTTATTAGATTGTTAATACTTTAATAGATGATTTTTCAATTTCATTTTTACAGTATCTACATTCTACAGTGAAAAAAGTTTGAAATTGGCGGTTGAGATGAGTTTCTCTTATTAAAATACACATTATAATGAATATAGAACACTATTTTGAGTAGTACAATCTAACACTTTAATGGCTTTTAATTCTAAAAATAAACTCTAACCTGAACATCTTATCAACAGGTCACATCAAGAACTAGAGATAACAATAGATAAGCAAGCAGAGATAATCCAGAGCCTGCAACATCACAATCAGGTCCTAGCAAGACGGATCATGTCCTTACACAAACAGATAAAAGCTTAAACACAAGGAAATGTTTTGGTTGAACGTTTGTCCGGCGGGAGTAAAAAGGATTCGTAGAAATTTTATCATTAGTTTTCCTAACCGCTTCAAGTTCATTACAAGGAATGAACAGTAAAAAGATTAAGATACTAATATGTATTCTTTAGTTTGATATATTATATTATTAATCAACTATATACAGCAAACACAAGATAATAGGAAATAAATCATAAAATCGAGTGGCCGAGTAGTCTCGACTCACCCATAGCTTCTCCATAAGCGTCTATCATGAGCTTTGTACACTAAATCGTTGAAATTACTTAAACTAAATCTTTTATTTACAATCACAATAATATTCTTTGTCATAATGACTTTTAATAATAAATCAAATAAATTTGAACGAGGTCTGCCCCTCCTTCCTTTGTAGTCAAGACATCCTAAACATGCAAATCTAAAAGATAAGAAAGCGGGAGTGTCGTCACCGCTTCTGAGAACGTGCCCAAGCATCTTCCATCGTGCTTTCTTGATCATTTCAGTAAGGGGACTGACATTACATCTCTTATATAAGTTCTCGTTACTGATAACCGTAGGCCAATAGGTGTTGATTATCTGTCTCAGATGCTTCCTTTATATTATATGATATAATAATTATACATATCGTTGAAGTAAAAGTTTGTCTTCTGTTAATTCTCTTCCGGGCTCTTCCAAGTTCCAGTTCTTCACTCTGTAATTTGTTACATTAATCACAATAAAATTGTGATGACCTGCTCGCAGTTACTTTAAAACATAATACTATATTTAGGTGGGAGATGTAATGCATATTGCACATGTGACTTGGTAACTTGCCATCATCACTGTGACGATATTCATACATTGTTTTACAGTCTGTTCAGCTACTCACCATTACTGAGTCACTGACTTGCTATATATAACTGAAGGTTCACCACTATTTCCTGATACAGTAGAGTCTACATTGTACTTGCAGACGGATTGTTTATTGCTTTTTTGTCGTGCATATACTTGGTATGATTGCAATGTTTGGTATGATTGCAATATTTGGTATGATTGCAATGTTTGCTTGATAATGACCTTATTTCAAGATTCTAATTCAGCTAGGAAAGAGGAGCCTGGGCTAAGAGCGACCAGTGTTTTACTCCAACTTTGTTCACTAAACACAAAAATACATTTGGATGATAACTTATGTATGTACTGTTTGGGGGGTAGACATACATCTGATTAGATTAGAATGCTTCTGAAAGTCTGAAAATAAGGTAGCCAGTACAGCAGAGTGACGTCATGTTTTTCAAGTTGGTACCGCACCTTCTGTAGTAGTACACACCTCGTACAAAATTAAATAATCTCTAAAGTGAAACGTAGCCTAGCTGCACTGGGTGTGATTTCTTTCAATTTTTTTCTGATTTCTTTACGTTTTTAAAGCAAGCTCTTAGTTCATCTTTTAAATTATTGTTTATAATGATTGTGGTAGTCAACTCACAACCTGGCCACAATTACGTAAGTGAAATACCGGGATTCAGGCAACATGTTCATTTGTAGTATGTTGGGAATGTTTGGTGAAGTAATTACGGAAGTAAAATACCGGGATTCAGGCAACATGATCATTATAGTATGTTGGGAATGTTTGGTGAAGTAATTACGTAAGTAAAATACCGGGATTCAGGCAACATGTTCATTGTAGTATGTTGGGAATGTTTGGTGAAGTAATTACGTAAGTAAAATACCGGGATTCAGGCAACATGATCATTATATTATGTTGGGAATGTTTGGTGAAGTAATTACGTAAGTAAAATACTGGGATTCAGGCAACATGTTCATTGTAGTATGTTGGGAATGTTTGGTGAAGTAATTACGTAAGTAAAATACCGGGATTCAAGCAACATGATCATTGTAGTATGTTGGGAATGTTTGGTGAAGTAATTACGTAAGTAAAATACCGGGATTCAGGCAACATGTTCATTATAGTATGTTGGGAATGTTTGGTGAAGTAATTACGTAAGTATAATACCGGGATTCAGGCAACATGTTCATTATAGTATGTTGGGAATGTTTGGTGAAGTAATTACGTAAGTAAAATACCGGGATTCAGGCAACATGTTGATTATAGTATGTTGGGAATGTTTGGTGAAGTAATTACGTAAGTAAAATACCGGGATTCAGGCAACATGTTCATTATAGTATGTTGGGAATGTTTGGTGAAGTAATTACGTAAGTAAAATACCGGGATTCAGGCAACATGTTCATTATAGTATGTTGGGAATGTTTGGTGAAGTAATTACGTAAGTAAAATACCGGGATTCAGGCAACATGTTCATTATAGTATGTTGGAAATGTTTGGTGAAGTAATTACGTAAGTAAAATACCGGGATTCAGGCAACATGTTCATTATAGTATGTTGGGAATGTTTGGTGAAGTAATTACGTAAGTAAAATACCGGGATTCAGGCAACATGTTCATTATAGTATGTTGGGAATGTTTGGTGAAGTAATTACGTAAGTGAAATACCGGGATTCAGGCAACATGTTGATTATATGTAGTATGTTGGGAATGTTTGGTGAAGTAACCTGCTGGTAATATGGTAGCAAACCAGTGGCAACCTGAGCTAGGGAAGGAGACCTGAAAATTACTTTAGAAATGAATATATAAAGAGTATAGTTTATGTTAGCGTTTCGTTTCCTGCAAGTAAGCAATTTTGATTTGAGTTAAGTTTCACGATTCATATTTCACGTCCGCGTCTGTTAAGTTGTGATTGTTGTGATTTGTCAATAATTTGTTAGTAATTACGTATAAAGACATTTTTCTTTAGCTTGGCTTGAGTTTTTCTTCGCTATTATTTTCAACATTATTATAACATTTTATGATATTTCTGATCAGGATCAGAAAAGTGGGTAAAAAAATAAAATGTTAATACCCTTGAAGAATTGTTATGATTTCCCCAATTTTTTATTAAGTGTTAAATGATATTGTGATTTCAAAATCAATTTTGTTTGATTGACGATGGAGTTGTAGTTTTGTGTGGATACATACTGTATAATTTGCTCGAGCGAATGTTTTTATTCCCGTATTTTAAAGCGTTTGACTACAGTTTATTGGTATCATTGTCTAGTTATTGACTTCCCTCAAGGACTAGAATAAAGCTGTACTAGAAAAGAAATTTTATTTGACACTCTTAATTTTCAATTAGCTAATTGGCCAATTGGTAAACAGTTGTCAATTACTAGGGTGTTGAAATTATTGATCTAAATTGCTTTGATTATCCCTAATTGTCACCTTATATTATTTAAAGAGCAATAGATAGTATTGATATTATATAATAGCTAAACCGTTAAATGATGTTCTTCCTTTGTTAGCTTAACGACTAATTTAATATAATATCATACAATAGTGTTGAAAGTTGTAATACTTTTAAGTTTCAACACGACTGTACAATGAACAACGTATGTGCCGCCTACGTGCCGCCTATCGGTAAATTACAGTACAGTCTTTCCACGCGACCACAAATTACAGATATGCTTTTGTTCGTAATTTAAATAATAAACTATCACACAAACTTCCAATCATCAAGATGAAGCTTGTAACCATATGTTACAATTGATTATTTACACCAACTATAAATCAATTGTCTTCCAATTAAACCAATTATCTGCCGTAGGATGAGGTACAGAAGATGAGAAAGAAAGTTGCCCTTCTGCAGCAGCTCAGTCACACTCCAAACCACCCCCTGCTCAGTAACCACAGTAACTCTAGTAGTAACCACAGTTACTTTATTAGTAACCACAGTAACTTGGCTAGTAACCACAGTAACTCTAGTAGTAACTCCCCTAGTGACCATGGGACAGACCCTCTCAGAACCAATCACCACCAAGAAGACCTCATCCTGTGAAAACTCCTTCTGTAGAGTTGCATCATCATCCATGCAGGTAAATGTTTATTGTTTTTATATAATCTAGAACATGTGGATTCTGGTGAGGTTTTTTTTAACACGTGACAGCAATAAACCAACCAGCTTCCACTATTGTCCTTTCAATACCCAGAATCACTGTCACGTGTCAAATAATGCCTCATCTCCTCACCAGAAGGCTACGCCCCTAATATTACAATCAGTTGCTGAATTGATCTCAAACTGCCCACTTACTGAGAAGAGGTTTTCCACAGAAACAGTTTTAAAAGTCTATAAATATTACGAAACCGCGACCGAAGGCTATAAATATGTTGTCATATTACTTGGAGTTCAAAGATAGGATTATGACTTATCATAGGATTATAGTTATCATTAATCATTATATTTATTTATTCACCGAGATTAGAGTATAACATACATTTACCTGGATTATACTCTGAATATGATCCGGATAGAAGTTTGAAAAATTAAAAAGTTTGAGTAAGGAGCATCTTATCTGATTTTACGATATCAGCCCTTGTAGCCTTGTTAATTAACACGTTTCGCTGAAAGTCTCTTTCTTGGTTTACCATACAAGTGTTCTGCAACCAGTAATTGTAACCTATTAAGTGTGCACAGTGGTGTGCACTGTGCAATACATTGGAAATAGTGTTATATAATGTGTTATAACACAATGTTATATTATAACGGCTCATTAGACACACAATTTAATAGTTCCTTGTATTACAGCTGAATTATGTCATGCTGCATGTTCTAGTGGTAGAGTTGAGTCATTCAAACCTCATCACGTACTGTAATATTCCCCCACGTACAACCACAATATTAGTGTAATACAGTATTACTAATACTGCGTGTATAATGTCACGTGTAATTTCACGTGCAGTGGTTGTTGTGCGATACAAAATAATAATAAACTGGGTGTTGTGCACAATTATTGGGTGTGTGTGAGTATCATTTCTTTTGCACAGTTTTTAAGATTTCAATTGTGGGTAGGAATTAACAGTGAAGTATAAGTAGCGGCAACTTTAGGACTCACATCTTGTCCAGGAGTGATTGTTTGTGTTGTAAACACCTTGGGGGGGGGGGGGGGGGGGGGGGGGGGCCGGGGGGGCTCAACTCCTCAAGCTTGGTGGAGCACGTCCTAAGGAAAATTGCCGAATGTATGTTCTAGTTTAGGATAGAACCCAATAGACACAAATAAAGAATACAAAATATCTGAGGTAAGAGGAATTTATCAGCATATATTCCGTCATATTGTATTCCTTAATATAAAATATCCCGTCATAATATATCCCGTCATAATATATTCCGTCATATTCCATTTCCATTATATTCCACTTTTCCTAGTCACCGAGTTAAACCCTCAAATCCTACCACGTTACTTAATAACATGATACTTAATAACAACTTTACAGATGTTATAGTACAGTAACATCCTGTATCTCATGATCCTATAAATAGAGGGATAGAGAAAGACGGTAGAGAGAGAGAGAGAGAGAGAGAGAGAGAGAGAGAGAGAGAGAGAGAGAGAGAGAGAGAGAGAGAGAGAGAGAGAGAGAGAGAGAGAGAGAGAGAGAGAGAGAGAGAGAGAGAGAGAGAGAGAGAGAGAGAGAGAGAGAGAGAGAGAGAGAGAGAGAGAGAGAGAGAGAGAGAGAGAGAGAGAGAGAGAGAGAGAGAGAGAGAAGAGAGAGAGAGAGAGAGAGAGAGAGAGAGAGAGAGAGAGAGAGAGAGAGAGAGAGAGAGAGAGCTGGTGTGGTTATTACATTGTGCAATGTGTACCATACATCTCACTTAACAACACATGGTGTTGTATTCAAGAGGTCTTTGAGTGGGTACAGTACCTATGTATAGGGTCACGTCACGTGACTCATGTGGGATACTATAGTGCTGGTTAAGTACCTTTCCTGAAGAAACTCAGAGGTTACTTTAACCCGAGAGGAGCAAATCTAGCTTTAAACGAGATTTATTTATCGATATTTACAAATTTCTTGTAAAGTAACTGCTTAAATGTTCTGTTAAGCCGTTTTGTGAGTAGGAGCCTTACATTTATTGGTCAGGAGACAGGATAATATCAACATGTTAGTCACGTGATATCCCGAGTATTAACTATTAAGTATTGGATTTTAGTAGAAGTAATACATTAAGTAATACATTAAGTAATACATTAAGTATTATAAGGCTCCTCTTTCTCTCAATCTCATGACAGGATCGCCCTGACAGGTTGAATGTGTAGTTACTGTGTAGGACCCGCGGTAATGTTGCAACATGGTACATATTGTAGCAGTATATAATATGTAGAGCCACACCCTCTGGTTTAAACTTTGTACTTTTGTAACTGTCATATTATTACAAAACCACAAAGTGGTGCACTTTCTAGATTAAGTAACGTTATAATGTGGTAAAGTAATAATGTGGTTAAGTAATAATGTGGTTAAGTAATAATGTGGTTAAGTAATAATGTTAGATAATTACGCAAATAATATTCAGACCATCAATATCAAGTATTATACTAGCACTACAATATATTATTATATTTCGATGTTATGATTAAAAAATAATGATAATAGCATTAATATAATGTAAGTAAACACTAGGTATTGAGCAGGTTTATGTGATAATAATAGCATTAATATAATGTAAGTAAACACTAGGTATTGAGCAGGTTTATGTGTTTAATAATAGCATTAATATAATGTAAGTAAACACTAGGTATTGAGCAGGTTTATAATAATAATAGCATTAATATAATGTAAGTAAACACTAGGTATTGAGCAGGTTTAATATCATTAATATAATGTAAGTAAACACTAGGTATTGAGCAGGTTTAATAGCATTAATATAATGTAAGTAAACACTAGGTATTGAGCAGGTTTAATAGCATTAATATAATGTAAGTAAACACTAGGTATTGAGCAGGTTTAATAGCATTAATATAATGTAAGTAAACACTAGGTATTGAGCAGGTTTATGTGTTTAACAATAGCATTAATATAATGTAAGTAAACACTAGGTATTGAGCAGGTTTATAATAATAATAGCATTAATATAATGTAAGTAAACACTAGGTATTGAGCAGGTTTATAATAATAATAGCATTAATATAATGTAAGTAAACACTAGGTATTGAGCAGGTTTATGTGTGATAATAATAGCATTAATATAATGTAAGTAAACAGTAGGTATTGAGCAGGTTTATGTGTTTAGTCGTGGAATGTGGTCAGGGTGGATCACCCTGGTTGAATAATGTCGTGTCAAGTATTATTTCTCTGTGTTCTATCGACTACTGCATAATATTATCATAACACATCAGCTGTTTATAAACAGATAGTATTAATTACTAGTATTAATACTATCCATACTATGCTATCTGTAACACGCCACAGTCTTCTTTGTAACGTTTCTGCTATACCACATAGAATACCTTTAAAGAATACACATACATCCAAAGTAACCTGCAATAACCGGAACAATACATTCAATATAACAGCAACAGTCATGCACATACACGGTCAATATTCTTATATTAAAACTGAACGCACATTTTACAAGATCTCACACAGTACCAGACATGAAGCTCTCACACTTTCTCATCGTGCGTCACGACATATAACGTAATTAATAACTATTTTTATCGGTATTTTTACGGTGGTCAAGTGTCAATCGTGCATGTAGGTAGCTACACGCTATTTGTCATAGGAGCACTTAATGCTTTATTAATGGTTGTATTGATAAAGGAGCAAAGGAGCGTAAGTAAGAATTTTATTATGGTGACGCGAATAGGATGGTTCGATTTTTAAGTGTTTCTGTTAGTCAAATATTGCCCCTTGATATTTTTCATGGTCGATGAAAACATAGACATTAAATATTTATACCGTAAACGACAGTTTTTAATGGATAACATTCGGACAAATAATTCGAAAAACTGATTTCATCACTAAACCGTTCCGTTCTGCTGAAAAACATTTTCTTCAACACTAACTTTATGACAATGTCGAGGCTTTCAACCCAGTTGAAAAAAAAAACATTTAATTGTGTTTGACAAGAGCGACGTTACCAAACACTTAACAGTAAAGTTATCATATTATAACAGATTATAACATAATATTATAACATGTTATTATAACAGATTATTATAACAGATTATAACATAATATTACAACAGACTAGAAAGCCCGTGGTAACAGGGACGAAGCTAGTAGTATTCTTTGAAAGAAAGTTTTAATCGCATCAAAAATATCCATCCCAACCGAAGATACAGCCGATTTAAAAATAAAACACTTTAAACACAACGTAATTACCACAAAACCGATCAAAATGACGTTAAAAAAATCTTTGCACGTGCATGTGTGCATTAAAACACCGTTGCTATGGAACGTTTTGGTTGTTACCTAAATTTCTATTTTTCGTCTAATTTGCACGTGGGCGGTCGTACATACAGACATTCTACAGAAATAATTCTTTGAATTATAGTAGAGATTATAACATAATATTATAACAGATTATAACATAATATTATAACATGTTATTATAACATATTATTATAACAGATTATAACATAATATTATAACATGTTATTTTGTCAGGGATGGAGAATATCAATGGAGGACGCTCATACCGTTCAGATAACAGTTGATGGAGATGCAACACATAACTTCTTTGGAGGTATGTACATTTCTAATTAATTAAATAACTATTAATTGATTAAATACCTGTGCCAGTCACATGAGTCGGGGCCTTACACTATTTTCGAAATTTAAAATGTATTGTATTAAAGAATAAAACTGGTTGCTGTAACAAGGAGCTGGGCCCTTTGCAGGGCCCTAATTGTATACTTTTATAGCGGATAATCTGTGAGAGTTTGGGCGAATTTCTATCTACCAAATTTTAAATATAACTTCAAACACATTAAAATAGTTCTGTCGGACATGAGTCGCTGTCGGACAAAAGTCGTGTTACCATTTAACACAAAGGGGTTACAGAGCATGGCGGTGTATAATGACCTGCCACTCAACCAGTACTGATAACAATATTCACTGGACGTACACTCGTGTATAATTATGTGCTTTGTGCTAATCTGGTATTACATCATTATTATATAATAATTTACAATAATATACATGATATGAATATTCAGTACAAGTTAATAATGATATTATAATAATCGTATGATTGAGCTAAATAATTGTTTGGTACTATACTAGTACTAACTTACTAAGAGTTATTGTTGATGATCAAATGTTTGGATATAATTGTTGATATTATAAGACTTATAATATGTGTTATACTGTATATAATATGTACCTATATTATTTACATGAATATAAGATTCATCTCATAATATTTAGTAAATTTGTCCTGACAGTCCCTGGGGCTGATAAACTTACTATCCTAGATTATGATCTAATATAGCACTGCTAGAAGCTTCTCCTTCTTTGGACAATGTATTATGTTATTATGTTAATATTATTTATGTATGAGGGCCCCTCATTGAGGGGCGGTGGCTACTGGTCTTCTTTAGAAATGTAAAACATAATACTGTGTGGTAATGTGAGTTTATAAAACTGTAAAACATATTGTAATATTTATATTAGTTACTATGTACATATTATATTGCAATATATTGTATTAATATTATGTACATACATTCAGGGTTTCTCCTCTGAGCTGACGCAATGTAAAAGTTTATAATTTGGGGAATGTAAGAGTTAATAATATGTTGTGGTTGTACCTACCTCCCATGATGGTAGATAGCTAAGAACATTGTAGGGATAAAAGATCTATTAGTAGAACGTACAGATAGTCTTCTTTCTCAAACGAAATCTCCGAAATCAAGGGAATCAACTTAATATTGATGGGCTCGGAGCCCCAATATGGTTTCAAGCTGGGATTGTTGAAATTAACATCAGTCACACTGCAACATGTCACTATTGGGTATTGGGTGCTGACTTCCCGAGTAATAAAATACGCTGTTACTTATAAAACCCGCAATTATCACTCCAGAAGAAGTCAAAGTTTCTTTTATTAAACCTGAAAAGCCGACCTTATCGTTAGTTGTAGTAGAGTAGTAGACAGTATTTCATATTATATTGCTTTACTGTTAAAGCGTATCTTTTTCAACAATCACTGCAACGAGCTGTTCTCAACATAACTTACCAACTTCAGAACCACTCTAATTGCTTACCGCGTGCAACCATAGGGCCTGTCAATTGTCATCATAATATCATGGATCAATTAGGTTCCACCAGGATCTGGTAGTCCTCATAATTCTGCGGCCTCTATGTATCGTCATCTCACACAACTCTTTAAGACCCTTGTGAGTTTGGCATGTGAAAATTTGCAGCCTTCCAGACATTGATTGGGTTAACGAGATGTCGTACATCACCTCAAGATCGGGTGACAGGGGGCTAACCCACTGTACGTGCAACCATAAAGTGCGCAGTTAAACAGCACGTGCAACCACAAAGTGCGCAGTTAAATAGCACGTGCAACCATAAAGTGCGCAGTTATACAGCACATGCAACTTGCTAACTAGTTAGAGCTTTAGAGCGGACCCTCCTTACCAATACCACAAATTGCTCCGTCATGTAACACGTTGTTGAGTGATGTGTTGACGACGTCATTCCCCACGCGACGTGACGTCACTAACCACGTTACGTCACTGATTACGTGACGTCACATGTCACGTGCCGTAATTCACCCTATAATGGGTGGTAGGTGTTTGTGTAACATGTTATAGCCTGAATATTGGATATTTCATTAATAAGCCAAGCTGTTGTCGTGTCACGTGACCGGTGACAAAGTAGTCAAGTAGTCGTGTAAAGGAAGTGACCATAATAACAAATCATATTATAATCATCACATCTGCTCTGTATTATAACAGAGTTACAATGTTATGTTACATTGTGTTGAATAGACATTGTAATACCTCATTTACACACATATCTGATCTCTCCTGGGAGGATCTCCCTGTATTGTCATGGTGTTTCCTGAGCTACTATTCTCTGCTATTGCTCAACTTCACCACATCTTCAATTTTCGAGTTTCGAGTTGGTAACCTGATCCGGTAATATTTATTATATATTCTGCTGAGCAGCGCTCCTTCCTTCCATTCTGCAGATGGAATTAAAGTTTTTTTGACACTACAAAAATTCATTATTCAACCATATCAGCTGCTAAAAACCCAGTTTTATATAAACGGTCTTGACAGCTGCTCAGTGCTCGGACACAGTCACTTTCTTCACGATCAGTTGTCACACACAGAGAGATATGAACAAATGTGGACAAATTCCACAGACATGTTGAGAGTGTTCGGACTGTGGATAGGTGGCAAAAAGTGGCATTACATAAGTGGCTAGGATAGGTGGCAAAAAGTGGCATTACGTAACCGACCAGGCATCTGTGGAACTAATGCCAGCACTTTAATAGCAGGTACTATATTGTGTGAAAAGTGTGTACTAGATGAGCTGTATAAATCACATTCCTGGGGTGTAGTTAATGTTGACGTAATGCTCACCTCCTCCTTTTTGCTCGGTTCTCATCTTTTAGCTCGGAGTAAGTAAGTCTGTTAGTTCTTGTGGTGATATGGGGGAGTAACAAGTCCAGTCTCTAGTCCAGACGCTATCATTTCATTTTCATTACAATAACCCTGTGTTGTTTGTTATTGACTACTGATAATACATAATTTGTAGGATGGGAGGAGTGACACTATTTGTAGGATGGGAGGAGTTATATAATTTGTAGGATGGGAGGAGTATTGTTAATGAATTACACTCCGCAAGTTCTTGGAGATGCTTAGCACTAAGATGTTAGCGAATTGTTGATAAAATGAGAGTAAAAATAAAATGTTTGCATAATTGCAATAAAATTGAAGGAAAAGTAAAATACACGCAAAATGTTAATGAAATGTCAGCAATATTACCAGTTAGATATTGAATAATAAATGTTTGGATTTCCTGTTTTATGTTTTCTTTAGTTATATATTTAGGGACGCTGCTCACTCGTAAAACTTGGCTAACATTCAAAAGTATTTTTCGTTACAGTAACATTCAGGAACCTTTAAAGTTAATAGTGCATACTCAATAATACAGTGAATGAGTCACTGTATTATTAAGTATGTGACTCTCATGTTCAACCGCATTCTTGTGCACATACCTTTAGATTTACTCGAGTGTAACCGGAAATGAAAGTGCTTCGTAGTTTTATAATAAAGTAAAACGTTAATGATCCTATGTGGTGTGTAACAAGATCGGATGAATAATGAATATGAGTAAATTAAAATTTTATAACTACAATACTATATCGATACATTGTATTCATAAAACACATATTACCATCATCATGTACATATAAGGAGCTTTTTAAAGGTGCTGTAAAGAAAAAAGCAAATCATATTGCATTGGAATGTTACTGTTAGTACTCATACACCATACTATAAATAAACAGTTTAAAAAAGATATAAATATAATAATATTAGAATCCCGTGAACTAATAAAGTTATCATCTTACCATATTTGGCACCGAACACTCTCAGAACTTGCCTCACATTGCGAAATTTTTGGGATTTATTGAGTTATTGACTGACCTCAAAGAATGAAAGTGAGAGTGTAAATTGTAATTGTGTGGAGAAGTGGCAGGTTACAGAGCTGATGAAAGAACACTCTCTGTGTGTGATGTGTTCTTTAAAGATCACTCTCTCTGTGGGATGTGTTATTTAAAGAACAATCTCTCTGTGGGATGTGTTCTTTAAAGAACACTCTATGTGGGATGTGTTCTTTAAAAAACAATCTCTCTGTGGGATGTGTTCTTTAAAGAACACTCTATGTGGGATGTGTTCTTTAAAGAACACTCTCTGTGGGATGTGTTCTTTAAAGAACACTTTCTGTGGGATGTGTTCTTTAAAGAACACTCTCTGTGGGATGTGATTTGAATATTTATTTTATCCCGTGAAAGTAAAACTATTGATTCGAATACGCTAGAAAATATTTTTAGTATTACTAACTGAATACTGATGTGATAGTATTAGTATCAATGACATAACATTTAATTATTTATGATTGTAATGGCAGTTTTATGTCCTCACAGCTGTTAAATACCTAAGTTAATTATAATTGAAGTTATCGACTACGTTAATGAGATTATCTAGTACTATTTATCTTAATCCCTAATTTAACGAACCATTTCGATAATACACTAATATAAATATTCCAAGATAAAAATGTATATCATATTTATATTGTGAATATTTCCCGAAAGCTTTTATCAATTCTCTTAATAATTGTAACACTACTCTTAATTTAATCAATAACTTAACAAGTTAATTGGTTCTAATTAACAAGCTAATCAGTTCTAACGAGAGCTCCCCTCCCAGTGTATGATGGACACGGTGGCACACAAACAGCCCAATACACGCAAGACAGATTACACGCAAAGCTGGTATCACAGCCCGGCTTCAAAGCGGGAGACTACAAGGACGCGCTGATAAAGTGCTTTGTGGATCTTGATAAGGAGATGTACGAAGGTTTGTCTGTTGTCTGTGAGTTTTAAGCCAGTTTGTTCGTGTGTGTTTTTGTGCCTGTTACAATGTCCTGAAATGTTAGGGTTGTACTGGAAGTATGATATTCCAGCGTGTGGGCCTGCATTAGGCCCATCTTATAATTGTGTGGTATGAAGCTGACTGGAAGTAGACCAGTCATGAATATTGTGACGTCATCACTTAGAAAACATGGGTTACCTAACATTCTAACATCCTGTTCAGAATGGCCATGCCGGGTAGATTTTGGGTTAAATGCCGGGTAGATTTTGGGTTAAATTACTGGCTGGTTACCCAAGCGAGCTTCAGAGCTGATACTTAGTGAAGCTAAACAGTAAACAGTGCATGTGAACTTAGGTGAACTTATGTCTTAAATATTAAGATGCTGACGATAAATTTAATCGGTTAATTACAAAGGCGTTCACTCCATTGCTCCAGCTCTGTTAAAAATCTAAAATAGATGATGTGAACTAGATGCTGTATAAGTGTATAGTTCCTCTGCATGTCTAGGATGTTGTAAAGAATTATAAATATCTTTATATGGAACATGAGTTACAGTTGTATCGGTAAGAGTTATTCTTAGTACTACTATGACGTGGCAAATATATTCGGGATTCCTCAAACCCAAGGATTGATGCCTTAACGGTACTTTGTAACACTTTGTTGGTTATCGTGCACTTCATAAATAGTTGACATGATATGTACGGAGGAGACTAGACATTTAAAAAGGTACTCGTGGAACAACCTTACACAATCCATCATCTTCAACGCTTTACATACCTTTCTCAAAATCATAACAACGCAATTAAATCTGTTATCAGCCACTATTTCAGATAGATCTGGGAAGTTTGCAACGTCAGGCTGCACAGCAGTTACCATGCTGACTAAAAACAACACTATTTCAGATAGATCAGGGAAGTTTGCGACGTCCGGCTGCACAGCAGTTACCATGCTGACTAAAAACAGCACCATGTACTGCGCTAATGCAGGGGATTCCCGGGCGGTACTCAGTGAAAGGGGGCAGGCTGTACCTCTCTCTTTCGACCACAAGCCCTCCAACGAAGGTGCGTGCTAAATTCAATCATTTCAATAATATTTAATCAATTAAATTAATCTTTAACGCTTGATTGAGAAAATACCAGTGCTATCATGACGTGATATTAGGGATATATAATATATAATAATAATTATACTGTCAAACCAGTAATGATTTGTGGTTTTCATTTCAAAACGTTTACTGATATTATAATATATATACTGATATAAAGATTAAACATGCACTAAACATGTACTAAACATGCTCTTTACCGCTAAAGAGTTATACAGAGGGACTGATTGCTTTCCCTACTAGGCTGACTTATTGTTTGTCTGACAATTATCAGAACTTCATCACCAACAATATATATCATCATTATATAGACAGCTGTGATATGTATCTTTAATATCTATATTTCTATTATTGACCTGTATCCTGACCTACTGATTGTTGGATGGGTTATTATAAAGCGAACTACATTTACTCTCTGATACAACTATACATGATCTTGTTTTGTTTTAAAGACCCGAGGGCCACCCTTAAGGGCTTTGAAACCGGTTTATTGACAATATATAAATAAACTGAAATCGTAACATTCATGTCAATACTAACTGAAATAATATACATACATACATGTTACATGGCGAGATCTCCATCCAAAGGGATTAGTCTGCGTCATCTGCGTCATTACTTTGTATTTGTAAATAATATAATCTGTAGTTAAAATAATAATACTTACTGTCACTTGATTAAGATATATTATGATGTAATAAAATTAATCTCTTTTATTTCCACACTAATTCTCACACCAAGCTTTAATTCACACACCAAAACTTTAAATTTTATCAGACTACAAAATATGTCCTAATATATACGTCTCTTATCTTTAGCTATCGGATTAATCGTGAAGATCTTTAATTAGATTAAATATCATATCGCATAATTAAAGAACAATTAGACAGTAGACAGTAGTGAACATCAGGTGACTGCTAATTAGTAGTCCCAGCTAATAACTACCACTATTAATATTACAGAGGAGACCAATTAAAAAACTCTGTAGTCAAGATCAGGATTCAGGTGACTGCTGATTAGTTAATCAGTTAATTAATAGTTAATTAGTTAATTAGTTAATTAGTTAACCCAGCTAAAAATATTAACATTACAGAGGAGATGAGACGTATTAGAGCTGCTGGAGGTTTTGTTGAGTTTAACAGAGTTAACGGTACACTTGCGCTCTCCCGCGCACTCGGTGACTTCGAGTTCAAGTGTGCTACGCGTCTTCCCAAGGATCAGATGGTTACAGGTGGGTTTTCATCTTAATTCATCCAAAAATGTTTATGTTTCGTTTTCATGGCACGGAGTTATGCCTCAAAAACTCGTGATTAACGAAATCATTCTGCTTATCAAATCACAAGTTTTGTTTTCCATTGAATAACATAAAGATTATATTTTTTAATGCAAAAGTATATAACGGAAGCTTTTATTACTGTGCCTTGTATCGTGTAAAATAATTACATAGATGCCACATTTAGATATCATGATAAGAACTGTTCTGTCCGTTTTAGTATCAAATGACACACCCAAGTTTGTGCGATTAAAAATTTTTACAGCGTTTAAATAAGATGTCATCCAATTGGAAATTTGTCAACTTGTCATACTGCTACCGTATCAAACAAAGCACCCGCCTAAATTTTTGTGGTGTAATAGCTTCGGTTCATTTTGTAAGATTTAGATAGAGCAAGTTGGGTATGGGGTATGGGTTGCAAGAACTGAATATTAGGGCTAAAAGACCAATTAGCCACAGTCATTACATATTGTTAATTTGCTCTGGAAATATTGGTTTTGTTTGCTACATCTAAAGATCATCGAGAAAGACAAGTAAAAACGCCGTTTAATCGTAGTTAAAAATCGCGAAAATAAGTGGTTGCTTTTTATCTTTTAAAGTATTTATCTCAAAAGCCGTATCTGCAAGTGTTCTAGATTTATCCGCGAGAACGTTCCTTCCGTGTGCCATAGAAATGTTGTTGAAGTCCTTCATGTTTGTAGGGCGCTGTGACAAACTTGTTCTGAAAGTCTAAATTGTCATTTATGAGTGTGTTATCAGCCAAGCGCGGCGCACGCGCATAGACATAATGACATGCATATCATGCGCGCTAGATTGCATAATTTATTAATTTGATTATTTTCATTAATGTAATCATTAAATTGAAATATACAATGTATACCCTTTATTTGTTACTTATCACCAACATGACCATTTCAGCGGTACCCGAAGTGACTGTAACCCCTCTCAACGATAACCACGAGTTTGTTGTCTTAGCTTGTGATGGTATCTGGGATGTGTTGACCAGTCAAGAAGTTATCGATTTCATTCGACCTAAATTAGCAGAAGGTCTTAGTCCTGATTCAGTGAGTATGTTACAGAAGTATTGCAAATTTTACACTGAGATCCAATCACGGTATATATTGAAACGGTCGGTGGATGGGGATCTCTCTCTCTCTCTCTCTGTTCTGGGGATCATTATTCATTATATTTATGCAGCTCTGTAAAATAATTTTCATAGCTTCTGCTGTGCTAACTCTTTCGTCTCTGTCCAAATACCCGTCCAATGAACAGCTATCATGTCAAGTTATGCAAACCTTTACATACGCAGTGTTTAACCTCTGCATAATCAATGTTTAACCTCAGCATACTCCCCCAGATTTGTGAGGCAATATTATCAAAGTGTTTGGCTCCAGTGACGGGCATGGGAGGTACTGGTTGTGATAACATGACGATAACCCTTGTGGTACTACTTCAGGTACGGTACCAATGATTGTTAACAAACCAAAAGATTTATAGGGGTCGTTCCAGTGGCGTAACGTTGCCATTTGGCGCCCCCCTATTGGCTCTCCCTAATATTAGACAAATTAGGTGATTTTAGAGGATACGCCAGCAAAATCTCTAAAAAGAATGTGTTTCTAGAGCAAAACGCACAGTTTTGCTAATATTGTAGTTAAGTTTTTCAAAATTGTCCCACATTCAAACGACGATTCGGCGCCCCCCTTAAGAATTAAGATGGCGCCCCCCCCCCCCCTCCCGCACAGCAGGGTTGGCAGGACCCTTTGTTACGCCATTGGGTTGATCACATATAACGTTATCACTTTATGGACAATGTTAACCTCCCCTCCCCCCTCCGTAATCAGTTTTACACATAGCCATTGTGTCAAAATTACACTAGCGTAATCATTTGGAAACCCCTCCCCTCGGCTGATTACGTAATATGTGAACGACCCCATATTATACATTAAATCTGGTAAAATGAATATAATGTGCATACTCAATACTTAATAACACATGTATATTTTGTTATTTATACTGAACAATTAAAGTTGATTTGGTTGTTTATTACTGTCTGCTCATTTGTATTCCTTTACAATAGAGTCTTGTGACGAGTTATGTAAAATGATGTGTATAATTGTAGTATATTCATACTCATAACAACGAAATCTTGATATTGATGATTATTTCAGGGTCAAGGTTGGGGAAGACTTATCGAAAAGTGTAACCGACCCCTCACATCCTAGTGTATCTAACATAGCAACTACCACTATCATCCAAGAGGGAAAAGTGGTACCAAGCCAGGAAATCTTCTCTAGGAATCGGATTAAATCAAGATTGATTCCGTGGGGATTGAAAACATCGACAGTCAATATATAGACAATAGTGAACGGTGCAGTGCAAGTGTATGGGAAATATTTGATCAGATTGGACCGAGGGTGTCTTTGAAATTGAGCTGTATTTAATCAAACATTTGATCAATTAATTAAGTACTTAATTGATTGATTCATAAGTTGGTTAACTTATTATGGTTATATGCTTTACATAGCTTGTAAATTGTTGATGTTTTGTACATATATTATGCGTGTCATAGTTCAGTCACTTCTCCTTACATTTTCAGTGAGGATCTATCATTCAGTTAGGGCTGTCCAGAACGATCTTCTTAGATTCATCAACCTTCTCCAAATTTCACTTTTTATCGTCGAAAGATCAGGTATTGCCGGCTAACTTGCAAATCTGATCTTTATGGAATTGGAATGATTTTTTGATACTGAACCATTATAATGATTATTATGACATTCTCGACTGAAGTTTTAAAAAGCAAGGAAACGCAATTCTGACAAAATCTCAATCGGGAAAGTGCTACAAACCCAGGACTTGTTTCCGAATTGCACGACTAGAATATCCTAGATCATATTAATGGATTATCAGACATCTAGATGCGTAGACTACTCAACAATATTCGGTTGGAATTTGATCAAAATCTGAATATAACAGAGAGCAAAACGCGAAGTTCTGGGCAGCGGCGGCTTGTCTTATTATGTATTTGCTAATTTATTTGTGAGAAAATCCCATATTGCATGTCATATCATAATGGGCACTGTTAATCTGATATCTCGGCGGTGTTTCTTTAGGTTCAGCAATTTTTATTGGATTGGCTTTTTTGGTCGGATGGACGAATAATGTTTCTGCATGAATGATTTATCCTTCAAATTGTACTGTGTCCTATGAATCTATAAATTGTAATTTTCATATCATTGACCTCGTCATTAAATTAATATACTCGTTACTCAAGTTGGCAACACATCATTTCATGTATAAAGCCTGTATAAAATAATTTAAGCTATTTCTCGATTACATATTTTAGTTGTATTAGTGTTGCGGACACTGCATCTTTTTGTGGAAGTTAAATGTGTAGTACGGGTTTCTTCACCTTAACCATTTCTACTACATAGTTGGAAATACTGATTTACAAATTACATGTATGATTCAAATAAATATTTAAAAGTTGTCTATTTTCTGACAGATTACAAATATACCGTGTTTTACTTAGTCTATGAAAATGAAATTAATCATATATCAACATACAGATTTGTACAATGGACAAAAACCAAATCTGAAATCGATGCAATAATACTTATATGTTTAGACTAGTGTAAAAATATGACAAAAATTACAGTTCCTGGTCGAAATGCAAATGGGTATTGTTACAAATGTGTGCTCCTGTATATCACCACTGTAACCATCAGCCGATATTATTATTAGTTCGCCCCTAGCTTGCAGGAAGTAGCAGCGGTAGACATGCAGTGTTTACAATTATACCAGTCATGGTCACAACATTTTAGTCAGAAGACTAATCACGTGACATTAACTATGTAGACAATAACAATCACGTGACAAAAAGTGTACCACGTGACCACCTTGGCAATAACAAAACCTCATCATGCTGCACCGCTCTTCATGTAGCAACATCACACATGACAGTATAAAGTGTAACTAAACGATCACGTGCCCAATACAGCGTGCTGTTTTGTTATGATATCCGCTGCACGTGCCACCGCGCGTGACGCCCACGTGTTCCTCACGTGACATAACACATGAGACACATCTTCTACAACATGGTATATACATTATCACATTGTACACAAGGTAATAAGCAGGGCTGTACATTTGCTCTTTCTAAACTCGGTGTTACGTTTCAGCTCTGCCGTCCTCTCGAGTGACCTGTATCAGTTTTATAATTTCTTTATCCGCGGTTTTATCTCGTATCCTAATTGCCCGGGTGTCATTTCTCCGTGTTAGTTCTTATCGTTTTGCTGGCTAGACTGTTTTGTTCAATGTGTGGTTTACAGACTGAATGTTGGGTGGCAATTATATAGTGGCCCAGCATTAGTAAATAGCAAAAATGTTATAGATGAAACACGACTGTTTTATGGCTTTTATTCTTCTTGAATTATAAGATCATTACTTTTTAAAACTGTAAGTTTTCATCCGAATGTTATAGTTTTCCGCTTACCAATACCAGTTGAAAGGTTTATGATGGTCGCAATCAATGGCTAAATCATTAGATAGACCCTATATATATAGGCTACAGTTATAAACTATATGATAGTTATATGATTGGTGTAGGCTCGCTGTAGCCATGAGATATTACACAAGACAGTATACCATTCATACTGTACAATGGTACGAATCCGTATGAGTATTGAGTGTGATTGTGGGAGGTGGCCAACAATATATAGATGATATCAGTACGTATACAGTCTGCGACTGCCAATATCTATTGCTATTGACAACTTTCATTGAATTAACACTTCTCGTCAGAATTGTATTGTTCGACTGTGCCAAACCGTCAAGAGTTTCGTCATGAATAATGAGTAGATAAAATGATATTTGTTCAAAGGGGGAAAATTTACTAATAATGCAATAACTCCGCAGATTGCTATTTCTACATATGTTTTCCGGTAAATTGGTCAAATTTCGAGCAAAATTTCTTCTTGGTTCCATGTTTGGTGTTTGTCACAGGAATATAGCCGGCCGGAAACGTCACCAATTTCATTCATGCCAATTGCCAGTGCAACATTTACTGTAGTATATGTATTATAATACTATATTTATGTGATGCTGTAATGGTCACAAAAATACTTATGGCATACTTATGTCATTTTATGGTATATAAAGCTACCAACTACTGCATAAGTTATGCAGTAGTTGGTAGCTTTATATACCATAAAATGACATAAGTATGCCACTAATAAGACAGTATATTAATACAGATATAAAAAACATGGGTATAGGACACTTATAATATGCAGCGGTGGTTTCCTAAAAGGTTGGGGGGGGGGGGGGGGGGGGGGGGGGGGTCCAACCCGATGTCCGATATGAGGGTTGATGAGGCCAAAATCGGAATCGGAAAAATCGGAAAATTGAGAAATTTACAGAATCGATCTCTAAAACCTCTCAGAAGTGATATAATTCAACCAGAACCCCTACATATGCTATATTGTTATGAGAAAACGATCCAATTGGACATTCCAATAGTATGTTTTATGTGTTTTTCTACTGCAGTTGGAGTTGTCATGTACTCCCAGACCCGAGTGCTTTGGCCTTTTGGCGTGAGATCGATTGTTTCTGCTCATTAATTTTATCCCTGTTACTAATTGTTATTATGTATTAGTACAACACTAGTACCGGGTTATATTTTGTGGTCCGGTCTTTAAACATACCATAATATCTCTAGTACACTGCACCTTAAATGTATAGTCAAGTACATTTGTATCGTAACACATGCTTGGCTGGGGGATCATGTACGTTGTGTCCGTTCGGTACCCTATATTTTCAAAACGGACAAAAAGTAGGGCGAACAAAAACGGACAAAAACAGACAAAAACAGACAAAACATTTACATGTCCTCCTCCTCCTCCCTAGTCTTCCTCCTCCTTCTCATCAGTCCTCTTCCTGACTCCTCGTCCTCGTCCTCGTCCTTCTCCTCAGTCCTCCTCACCCTGCTCCTCAGTCCCCTCCTCCTCCTCAGTCCTACTCCTAGTCCTACTCCCAGTCCTCCTCCTTCTCCTTCTCCTCCTCCTCCTCCTCATTTCTCCCCCTCATCCTCCTCCTCCTTCTCCTCCCAATCAGTCCTACTGAGTCCTCCTCATAGTCGTCCTCCTCCTCCTGAGTCCTCCTCCTCATCCTCCTCCACCTCCTGAGTCCTCCTCCTCATCCTCCTCCTCAGTCATCCTCCTCTTCCTCCTCAGTCCTCCCCAGTCCTCCTCCTCCTCATCCTCCTCCTTCTCCTCCTCATCAGTCCTCATCCTCTGTCCTCCTCATAATCGTCCTCGTCCTCATCCTCATCCTTAGTCCTCCTACTCCTTATCCTCCTCCTCAGTCCTCCCCTAGTCCTCCTCCTCATTCTCCTCCTTCTCCTCCTCCTAGCCTCATCCCCCTCCTCCTTCTCCGCTTTCTTCTTCTCCTAATCAGTCCTTCTCCTCCTCCTCGTCCTTAGTCCTCGTCCTCGTCCTCCTCAGTCTTCCTCCTCAGTCCTCCTCAGTCCTCCTCCTCATCATCCTCCTCCTCCTCCTCAACAGTCCTCACTCCTCCTCCTCCTCCTCAGTCTCCTCCTCCTCATCAGTCCTCCTCCTCCTTCTTCTCATCAGTCCTCATCCTCAGTCCTACACTAGTCGTCCTCGTCCTTAGTCCTCGTCCTCCTCCTCTTCCTCCTCCTGAGTCTTCCTCCTCCTCCTCATCAGTCCTCCTCCTCCTCTTCAGTCCTCCTCCTGAGTCCTCCTGAGTCCTCCTCCACCTTCTGAGTCCTCCTCCTGAGTCATCCTCCTCCTCCTCAATCTTCTCCTTATCCTCCTCCTCCTCCTCCTCCTCATTCTCCTCCTTATCCTCCTCCTCCTCAGTCCTCCTCCTCCTCAGTCCTCCTCCTTCTCCTCCTCCTTTTCCTCTTCCTTCTCCTCCTAATCAGTCCTCTTCTTTAGCCCTCGTTATCATCCTCCTAGTCCTCTTCCTTAGTCCTCGTCCTCATCCTCGTCCTCCTCCTTCTCCTCCTCATCAGTCCTCATCCTCTGTCCTCCTCATAATCGTCCTCGTCCTCATCCTCATCCTTAGTCCTCCTCCTCCTTATCCTCTTCCTCCTCAGTTCTCCCCCAGTCCTCCTCCTCATTCTCCTCCTTCTCCTCATCCTTGCCTCATCCTCCTCCTCCTTCTCCGCTTTCTTCTTCTCCTAATCAGTCCTTCTCCTCCTCCTCGTCCTTAGTCCTCGTCCTCGTCCTCCTCAGTCTTCCTCCTCAGTCCTCTTCAGTCCTCCTCCTCATCATCCTCCTCCTCCTCCTCAACAGGCCTTCTCCTCCTCCTCCTCCTCCTCATTCTCCCCTTCTCCTCCTTATCCTCCTCCTCCTCAGTCCTCCTCCTTCTCCTCCTCCTTTTCCTCTTCCTTCTCCTCCTAATCAGTCCTCTTCTTTAGCCCTCGTTATTCTGTTATTATCCTCCTAGTATATAGTCCTCGTCCTTAGTCCTCGTTAAGGTTTTTTTTTTACATATTTGATAGATTTACAGATCTGGCTTGACAAAAATTTTCAGAAAAAATCATGTTCGCGGGAAGCAAAAATCCGATGAGTTTTTTAGGGGGGAGGGGTAGGGGGTTGAGGGGGGTTGGGAAGGGTTGTCACATGACGAGAAATTTTTTGCAAAAATTAAACAATCTTTATTTGTTGATATTATTCACCCCTGTTGCCTAGAGTGGTGGGTCTGCACTTGAGAAGAGTGGGTCTGGCCGCTAGAATGGTGGGTCTGCAATCTAGAAGTGGGTCTGGCAACCAGAATGGTGGGTCTGCAATCTAGAAGTGGGTCTGGCAACCAGAATGATGGGTCTGTACCCTTTAAGAGTGGTCTGACAACCAGAGTGGTGGGTGTGCACTTGAGAATAGTGGGTCTGGCAGCTAGAATGGTGGGTATGCAATCTAGAAGTGGGTCTGTTAACCAGAATTGTGGGTCTACACCCTTGAAGAGTGGGTCTGACAACCAGAATGGTGGGTCTGCACTTGAGAAGAGTGGTTCTTGCGGCTGGAATGGTGGGTCTGCAATCTAGAAGTTGGTCTAGCAACCAGAATTGTGGATCTGCATTCGAGAATAATGAGTCTTCACTCTAGAAGAGTGGGTCTGACAACCAGAATGGTGGGTCTGCACTTGAGAAGAGTGGGTCTGGCGGCTGGAATGGTGGGTCTGCAATCTAGAAGTTGGTCTAGCAACAGAATTGTGGATCTACATTCGAGAATAATGAGTCTTCACTCTAGAAGAGTGGGTCCGGCAACCAGAGTGGTGGGTCTGCACTTGAGAAGCGTGGGTCTGGCCGCTAAATGGTGAGTCTGCACCCTTTAAGAGTGGGTCTGACAACCAGAGTGGTGGGTCTGGACTTGAGAAGAGTGGGTCTGGCAGCTGGAATGGTGGGTCTGCAATCTAGAAGTTGGTCTGGCAACCAGAATGGTGGGTGTACGTACACCCTTGAAGAGTGGGTCTGACAACCCGAGTGGTGG